TCAGCTAATTTGTTTATAAATTATTTAATAGGAGCTTTAAATTTAATTTTCCCAAAGTCTGTTGTTGCAATTATCAGCTCTTTGCCACGGACTGTAATTCTTCAAACCGATAATTTAATGCCAGTAACAAGCAATTTCTGTAAGATTCTTGCTCAATTAAGTGCCAAACTTCCCCAAATAAACACGGGAGCCCAGGGAGCAAGCAGAGGAGCCGGGAGCACTACAGACAGCCCGGGCTGTGCTTCCAGCTTCTTCCAGAACAAACTGTCAACGTTTCTGCTGCAAATCAGGGTAAACTCTTTTATCGGGATCTTGTAGTTTCTCATCTCTCCCGTGATGAGACAAGGACCACGTGAAATAAATTCAGGTGGCCTCAGGCTCCCAGCTGGAGCTCGCCAGTGGAGGGCGAGGAGTCGCCAAGAGCCCGGCCAGCTCGGGCCACAGCTGGGCCACAGCTGGGCCACAGCTGGGCCACAGCTGGGCCACAGCTGGGCCACCTGTGCCCGTGCCCGTGGCCAGGGAGCAGCAGCAGCCGCCAGGGCCTCACCTTGGTGAGGTGCAGCTTCCCCCCGGAGCCGCGGGTGCAGATGATGAGGTGCTTGGAGAAGAGGAAGCACTGCCGCTCGCCCTCCTTCCTGAGCGACAGCGAGCCCAGCCGGCCCCGCGTGATCTTCCCCTTCTCCGACATGGGCACCTGGATCAGGGAGCCTGCAGGGATGGGGACACGGGCTCAGCCCAGCTGTGCCCCCATCCCGGCACCGGGAGCTCAGCGTGCTCGGCCTGCACCACCGGGAGCGGCCAAAATGCAGCTCCTGCACTGCCACGACGTGCAGCAGTGCAGCGACAGAACTGCCCCAAAGTGCCAGAACTGCCCGAACGTGATGTGCTTCTGATCACTGAAAACTCATTTTTACATTTTTAAATTTTTATATTTTTAATTTTTTATATTTTTAAATTTTTATGTTCTTAAATTTATAAATTTTTTCTTTTTTATAAAAATATTATCTTCTTAAAAATTTACATTTTATAAATCAATAAATGTTTAAATTTTAGAATTTTCAAATTTTATCAATTTCTAAATTTTTTAGATATATTTAAATTTCACAGGCCACCGGAGCACACAGGACAGGGGCAGGGCCGAGGGGCTCACGTTCACCACAGAGGGGAGGGATGTTGGCACAGACACAGACCTTGTCTGACAAAGGTCTGGCTGGTGTCCAGCAGGATCTCACAACCCTCGATGATCATCCTCTCTATTGCCAGGTTTTTCCGAATATTTTCAGTCTCACTCACTTCGTCGTGCATTATCCTGAAGGATGGAGGGGAGAGAATCGGAGCTGGATGGGATCTGCACGCGTTTTCCCAACCCCTTTGGACACAGGGTGGGGCTGCACCAGGTAAAACCAAGACCGAAGGAATGTCAAGGGAATTACAGCATTATCCACCCAGGCAGAGCCAGGAGCCCCAGACCTGTACATCTGCCCAGACTGCACCTCCAGGCTGATAAATATTCAAATGTGAGTGCTTGGACATCACAAAATTCAGATTTAGGGCAGACAGATCCCCCCATCACCAGCCACAGAACCACTCGGAGCCATCCCAGTCCTCCCAAGCCCTCATTTCACCATCCAGGAGCCCTGGCATACCCTGCCCCTGGCCAGGAGCAGCCAGGACCCGTCCCACACCCCAGGATGGATCAGCAGCTCTCACCTGGACAGCTCTTCCAGCTTGGACTTGGCATAATCCAGACTGTTCCTCTCCACGTGTTCGTGGGGCGTGTGGGCCAGCAGCTCGTGCAGGGTC